TGTAAAAATTCTTAAATATAAGAGGAATAGCAATCTTCCACTTTATCAATAAGTTCATTTTTTTGGAAGTGCCATTGTGATGTATAAATAAATATTTTGTGATGTATCAGATTTTGAGATTAACAATCATGCAATAGACATTTCATAGTTTATTTTCTATTTTATTTTATAAGTTTTGTTTATCAGTAACATTAAAGATTCTTTAGAATGTTAAACATGTCAATTAATGCCTCATTAAATATATATTTTGTACCACATCTATTATATCTATATTAAAGGAAGGTCTTGAAGCAACAACCCCCATCCTCCAAACATGTGGCATTGTAAAATTTCAATATATAAAATCTTAGAAAAAGTTAAACTCTCACTCTTAAAAAAGTCTATCCACTCACAAAAAAGTGACAACTCCACTCTCTTAAAATTCACACACCTAGCATCCTAATCCGTAAAAAGTGGCCACTTCAAATGTTATGGTAGCTAATGAATTTTATTCAAACACAACCATTTCAAAAGTAACGATTAAACAAATAATTCAAGTTAAAAATATTCAAAATATTAAATGAATAAAATAAAAATAAATGAAATTCATAAAAATGACTAAACAATTAATACAAATGGTGTGGGTTTCATTCTTTTAGATGAAATAGTTTATTAATTGCAAACTAGATTTAACTTTTTTTTTTGGAAATGTAACCTAATTTAGATTAAAAAAAATTATCAAATAAATAGTAAATGCCAATTATAGTGGGTTACTGCTTAAAAATAAGAGCTCATTTAATCTCTCAAATCATATTAAAAACAACATAAATTAATAATGAGTTTCAAACAAAGTAGGTCAAAATAGATTGCCAATTACAAAGATGTTAAACCCATGTTAATTTTTCTAATTTATCTTTTTATAGTTAAATAGTAAATTTCAAATTAAATGATATTGTAGTTGCCCCTTAGTATGGGGCCATTCTCTAGATAAAACATGGTAAGTTTCTGAATCAAATAAAAAGCCTAACATAAATGTCTAATATAAATAATTTAAAAATTTGAAATAATTCAGATTAATGGTCCCATACTTAATACGGGTGTCATTCATAGTTTATCTTTTAAAGGGAGAAAAATGGTTGAAAAACATTTTTTGATGTTTTTGACAGCAATGTGGCATTAGATGCCCTTAAATCACCATATAAGCTGGATAGTAAAAAATGACTTGATGTTAGAAAAAACATATAAAAAAAGGCTTTATCAAGAAATGACGTTGGCACAAATAAAAACAAACCTTTATTTGATAAACAATTTAAACGAACAACATTTCAAACTCTATTAAGAGAAACACATTTATATCGCTTAACTGACATCGTATATGGGATAAACCGCAATGGAATCAAACACTATCTATGTACTGGTAAGAGTGCACATGCATTGCAATGGGAGATTGTCAAGATAATAATTAAAGTATGAAAATTAAAAAGAAATTGTAGAAAAAATTTAAACACATCTATAATTTCATATATTCATAATACATCCATTGTGAAGCAACTGCTTTGGATTTGTTGAGCCCTCGATAGATGGGCTTCATATGTGATATAAGAAAAGAGCTAGAGATATTGATAGTTCTAGTGGGCAGTTTGAAAATTGCTTCTATATGGTGGAATTTAATTATCGTTTAGTTGCATCAGTTCCATGGTGACATGTCATATTTGCACTCTCTTGTTTATACTAATGAAAGTGATTAAGAAATAAATATCACCATGAATCTTGTTACATGGGAACAATTCACTGGCTATGAAGTATTTAAGATGATGCTTAAGGGAGTCAAAGATGATAAAATTGTTGAAAGGTTATGTTAAAAAGCTATTAAACTAATTAGATCATTTAATAACTGAAAGAGATCCACATGTTGGCAATGTCACCCTCTCATGTGTCAATGAAAGTCCCTACATTGCAGTCTCCCACACAAAAAAAAAGCTTTCTCCCTTGGACATTTTGTATTCAAAATTTGAACAACAACTACAATTAAGGGGAAGTAGTGGGAATATTGAATTGATGAAAACAAATGAAGCATGGTGAACCTAGAGTGCAGAAAGATGGTTTTGTTTGGTGATGTATTTGACAATCATAGCATATAAAAAAGAGGAATATGAAGTAATAAAAAAATGGTTTACTATAGTTGTAAGCCTGTAACAGGTCATAAATTGATTGACTAAGAACGAAAAGAGAACAATAGAGGGAGAAAAAAGTTTGTAAGGCTTAGTTTGGAAGAAGTACAAATGCAAATATGTAGAGTGCAAAACCTTATATTTTGTATTATTTTCTATGTATTTGCACTATACATATTTGTATTTGTACTCTTTCCAAACTGAGATTAAGGTTTGAAACTTGGAAGAAGATGAGATCGTGTGGTTTTTATATTTATATATAAATAAAGAAGAAGAAATTCCCTAAGTATACAAAAAAAAAGGCCCAAGTCCTACCAAGACAAAACAACCCAAAAATCATAAAATAAAAATATAATCAACAACCCAACTTGTGTATTTAATGACTCCTATTTGACTAACATATTTTCTTCGGGCTCCTATCATCTCATCATTTGGTTTGTCAGCATAAATGTTTAATTATATGGTACAATATAACAAATGTTTTGTATTGAACTTCGAAATACACCATATGCACTAAAAGAAGACCCTTAGGCTAAAAAAATTAAAAGCATGATAACATCATATTGCATGAGATATCTTGTACCTGTCTTGGTTCTAAGAAACAAAGAACCCTAACTTCCCCACATCCACCATCCATAGATGGGGATAGAGCAAGCCAAAGTAGAGTACATGTAGCATATTGTCATTAATCCATTCACCTGAAATGGATAGAGCATGTTACCATCTTTAGTTTAATCTTTGGAGGAGGTTCTTTATAGAAGCTTGGCATTAGTGTAGCTTTAAAAGTCAAACTCTTCTTTAATTCTTTGAGTTCTGCCTCCTAGCTCTCATGCAAGCCAAAGTAGAAAATGGAATTGTCTCGAATAGATGACATCTAAAGCAAGTTAGTAAAAAGAAATAAAGGAAAAAAGAGAAAAAGAAAGAATGTTTGAATTAAAAAATAAGATAATATATTCTTTAATACTTTTGTTTTCACCTGCAAATTAGTTATTTCAATTTGCATGAATTTTCTCTTCTAATTTTGAAAATAACTGAGTGGAACTAGAGTCAATTTATTTCTTCTATCTAAATCAATCCAATTGGTTAATGGTACATGTAAGTATATATATGATGCTATTAAGCTATGCGCGCAATACCTTTACATGGATTGTTATTATCTTAGCTCTTGTAGTTATTACATTAAAAAATAAATATTATGGTTAAAGTGATCACCCATTGATTGGGTCATTTCCTTTTGTAATATGTAATGCATGAGTTAAGACAAATGGATTCGAGGCCTACCAACAAAGAGAAAAAAGCAGCTAAAAATGTACTAAGTAGATTAAACTTATCTCGCATCTTTTTGTTTTTCTGCACACTCAATAAGCCTGGAGGCAAATACAGAACCCATGCTTTTTCATGGCTCACGAGTAGTGCTTCTACCTCAACAATAATAACGATAATGATGGAATGCCATTATTCTATGAGAGAGAGAGAGAGAGAGCCAGGAAAGGAAAAGAAAGATGTTGAATATATAAGAGAATTTGAAGACCCATAAAGAGTAAATATGAGACAGAGGATCATGCTTTAACAGGCAATGTTTGTTTTATCAGCTTTAAATACTGATCACGTGATATGTGATTATTTATGAAGTGATTCGGCAGATATGAAACTCCTTAATACGAAGTTAAATAGTGGTGGTGGTTGTCAAACAGAGAGGGCGTGCAGAGATAACAATATATAAGATCGCACCCACATATGCACGTACAACAAATCCATATAAATGAAACATAATGATAAATCTAGAGATAATCATCATCATCATCTAAGCCTCGTCCCAACTATATGGGATTTGCCACATAAATCATGTTCCCCATTCCATTGTATTTAGTATCATAACCATTTTTAAATTATGGGTACTTAAATTATTTCTTATTATTTCCACCCAACAAAATATGCACAAAGTTACAAAATAGATTATAGATGGTTGTCTCTTTATTTCTCTAGGTTTGTTGTTGACAGGCATAGTGGCATACATATATAGGGATGATGAACTATGTTTTGGACAGGACTCTCCTCACAAAGGTCTATGCCTAACAAATGAATTCATTTTTTTATAAAATAAAATAAGCAGGCAAAACCTACACATCATAGAAGTAAATCATATTACAGAAGGATGCATCAATAACTCTGTAGATTGTAAGGACGAGAACTTACTGGGGCTCTTTGGACTATGTGCCACTTCTACTTGCTTCTATAGAAATAGACTTACTAACCTGACTTGAAATAAAACACAAAATAAGCTGATGCAAATATGGGGAAAGGCACGAAGAAGAGATTTTGGGAAGAAACCCTTACAATAGAAGGTTTTGGATGCTAGGCCTAGATATTACGGTGCTCGGCCTGGTGGGAAGTAACCTTTTCCTTTCTTTTCCTACTTTTTCCTTCAAACCAAACACAGCCTTCTTGATTGCATCACGATCTGTTTTTGCTTGGCTCCAACGGGCTAGTTGCATCATTCTTACATTTCGATCATGGGCGCGGAGCCAAATCCGGTGTATGGAGATCAGACACCCCATTCATTGTCTATGTGTTTAGGTTTCGCATGAATGATTCATATCGGGCGGAAGGAAAGGTAGTTGTGTACGGAGAAGTGGCCCATTCATCGTCGATGTCTTTAGTTTTTGCATGATCGATCCAGATCAGACGGACAAGGATGGTTATATCGTCGGGTTTGGTTTACCTTTTCAATTTCTCATGATAGCACACGTGGCAATTTAATAGGGTTTAGAGAGTTGTGCGTGATGCAGTCTTGTAGCTCCAGAATGGAGAGGCTTCCTTGGCCCCCCATATAAATTTGCTCGATCATTTCCGGCGCGCGGAGAGACAGTTACGAACTCACAATCATTTCTTTAGGCGGTAAAGGGGGGAAAAGTTCGTGAGGAAAAATAAAAAAAGGAAGATCTTCAGTGGACTCTACCTGAAAATCTCAGCGGACATGGTTTTGAATATTTTGATCATCGATTTCAATTGCAACAATCGAATAATCAGAGATTAATCTGCGATCCGATTATTGCCGTAATGGAGAAAGAGATCGAGTTGCTTTCCAGAGTCACCGTAAATCATCTGTTCCTCGCACAATTCGAGGCTTTCAGGGCCACTTTGCTCAGCTTGCGAAAGCGAAAACCCGAGCTTGCCATTGCAATCCTTCAGGCCATCGTAGCTCAAGGAGGAAGGGTTAATGGCGTGCTGTGGTCGAGCACATGCGGCTCCCCGGCGCTGCTCGCGTGGTTGTCAGCTATGGAGCTGCTCGAATTCGAAGACGCATCGTCGATCTGGAATCTCGATCCCGAGATATTGCGGTTGAAAGTTGAATTCCTTCTTCTTGTACAGCTCGTCTCTTCTAGAGTTTCAGAAAGTATTCGAAGACTTGTGGTTTTGGAGAGTATAGAGAAAGAAGATGTTTCCAGTGAGAATTTTGAGTCTCGGCCTGAGTATTTCTCTGAAGGAGCGGATTTGAAGGATTCGAGTGGTGCTTTGGTTGATTCTCTAAATTTTCTGGACCGTATTTCGGATTTAGGTGTACGGCGGTTGAAGGTCGATGTTACTGAAGCTGACATTGGGCCATCTGATGTAGTTATTTCCTTTGAAGACGCGGAAGTACAATGCCTGAGGAAGGTAATCCTTGACCAGGCAGAGATTTTTGACGCCCTGTGTTGGAATATTCAGAAGCAAGTTAACTGGTCCGACCCCTATGATTCTGTTTTGGCAATTACTGTGAACACCGAAGAGAAGGTGGGTCTGGGTTACTCAGAAGAGGAATTGAAAATTCTAGCTTTAATTCAGAAGAATGTTCAGATGGCACATTTGGAAGCTTTGAAAGAGCGTCTGAAGGAGGGCGATGAGAGTGGTGCTGTTTCTCATATTCGTTTTCTTCATACAGATAATGGTGTTTTGGAGACTGAATATCGGTAAGTTTGTTTATCTATTTTAACTGAATCTGTTATTCACTTATTCACACTATGCGGTGCTTCAATAGTCAATTGAATAATGTAGAATTGAGTTTTGTTTTGTTTTGTTTTTCCCCCATGCTGGAAGGTCCACACATTTCCTCATCAAATCTACTGTAGTATGTTTCTGGCAGATGGTAATTACAAATTTTATGCTGCAGATACACTGAGTATAATGTAGTATGTAGAATATCACATCCTTTATTATCTGTATGTCGGAGTAGGGAAGGGGTGATGATATTGAAAGTGGAGTTTCTATTGGATCTGGAGTCTGAACGACCATTATCTCTGGGGACTATATTTGAAATGCTTCTGGAAAAGAAAGCTAATGGGGGCAAGAATGTACACTGGGTCTCTTTTTTCTAAAATTATATATAGCCAACCAGAATTTTCGTCTATGATCATTTATAAACTCTTGACTCATTCCATTCTAAGGATATTGCCTTAAGCATGTTTGTCCCAGTTAAAGTTTAAAATTTCGATACGATATGCTCTGATACAGCACATGTATCTGGCATATCGTATTGTATTGTTGGGTCCCGATACATCTGTTTATAGGTGTTTTGGGAACCCCTTCTTTTTAATAAAAATATAGTTAAAAACAAGCTCAAAAACCAAATTTTGAAAAAAAAAACTAAAAAAACACGAAGGCACATGGTTTTAAGTACCAATACCCTCTGCCGATACTCAGGGGCGTATTGATACTTTGAACCATGGTCCCAGTTATTCATATTATTTCTTTCATTTATTTTTCTCTGCCCATATCTTTCTTTTTGATAAGGATGATTTTGTCAATTGTAAGAGAATGGAAGAACTCTAGATACATCAGTGTCCATTGCCTCTTAAATTTCCAAAATTTAGCGTTTTTAACTCCTTTGAAGTACAAATTAAAAGAAAAGATTTGTTTTGATTTTGCAGTTTACCCTTGTACCTCTTCCACAAGAATTAAGTCCAAAGTTCAAAGTATTTTTTTTGAAGGATCAGAAAGAAATTTCATTAAATTGAAAAAAAAGTACATCTCAACATCATTGGTTGTCAAGTTGACACACCAAGTACACACTAGAAATCAAACAGAAAAAGAGTCAGGGGTGTATCCATACACCCAACTGTATTGGCAGGGGTGTATCAATACTTTTTAGGCCATTTGTTTTATTTTTTTTTTCAGAAGTTCATTTTTATTACATGTTTTTTATATAATTTAATCAATAAAAAATGATTTCCTCAAAACACCTGTAAACAATTATATTGAGAAGCCAACGGTACAATATGATATGCCTGATACGGGGTGTATTGTATCGGTACTTCGGACCTTGGAATTAACTAATTGCGAAAGGTAGTGTTTTCCAAAATATACACCTTTATCTGGCCATATCTGAACCAAACTTGATAGATTTCTTTGAATAAGCAATAATGTCCAAAATCAGCAATAATTTGTAACTGTCTTCAAGAAGTACTCAAGACTATAGCAAGGGGTGACCCATATCTTCAAAGATTACTCATCGTGCCCCTAGAACTCAAATTTACTAACATATAAAAGTTAAAAGGCATACAGATAAAGAGATTGGAACATGATACCTGATACTTAGAAAAAGGAGAATAGACAATTTAAGCAAAACACAACATTTAAATATTTCAATTCGTTCACTCAGATCATTGTCAGTTCAGGTCAAATCCTCTTCTTAATATCTGATCTTGCCCTAAGAGTGAAGAATCATCATCATCACCATCATCACCATCATTAAGCAGAACGAGAACGAACTGTATAGTTGGGACAGGTCCAACCTATAAACTTAAAAATGTTCACAAGAGACGGAGTCTTAATTCAAAAGCTCAAGAGTTGTGTTCCCTGGTAAGGAAAGCCAGGTTGTGGGAAAGTAAACCTGATCTCTTGGTGATCTCTTTGGGGGGAGGAACCAATTAATAGTAAAGGCGCTGCGAAATTTAGAAAGGAAGGTGAGAAGGTGGAAGAGGAGGTGGTGTCAAAGGAGGAGTTGAAGAAAGAAAGATTGAATATAAAAAGCTTGTTGACAGATAAGTAGAAGTTGGAAAAGCATTGGGTTTGTTCTTCTTAAGAGGTGAGGCTTTTGCTAGAATGGCTCTTGAGGAGTTGGAAAAGAGGAGAGTCTTTCAAAAGCATTTAGAGGGAATGGGGGAGAAATTCGGAATGAGGAAAAGGGAGGGAGGACGAATCAATTGTTGATGAGGAACAAATCTTCTTGTCGGTGTTTAGGCAGTGATGCCTCTTCTGATGTTTTTAATTGTTCTCATTGAGATGTTTGTGTGGCTGCTTTCTTTGCGTTTTGGGCTGTTCGGTCGTGTGGGTGAGTTGTAGTTGTTTGTGTGGTACCATCTTGGCACTGTTGGAGGCTGTATCTTGTTTTCGTTGTTCTTTATCTAATTTAATTTTTCCTTTTACTTGTCACAAAATATATATTAAACCTACATTGTAGAATTTAATAATGGAGATTGTTAGAATACACAAATCATGGGTATTTTGGTCATTTGGGTTTATCTATTTGAGAGTGAAAGGTCTATTTTATTTAAGTTTAAGTTGTGTGTCCCATCACTTATGAGGGACAATGTGGTCTTTCTTGTAACTATGATTATTGGAGATAAATACAAGTGGGTCGGCTAGAGGTGGACTAATTTTTTCCTAATCTCGTCGAACCCTTCTTCTTTCTCTTCTTCTTCTTCTTCTTCTTCTTCTTCTCTACTTTAACCTAGAATCGAATAAGGATTTCACATGGTATCAGAGCAATAAAACCTAGTTCTCTTTTCCCTTTTTTTCTCTTTCCTCACTGTTTGTCTTCTTCTTGGGTTCGCCGCCAACTATTTCTGCTTTCTTCGATTTTCTTCTAGCCTGAGTGGGAGCTCGACAAGAGACCAAAAAGGAGTGGTCGTTTTGTGGTTTTGGAGGTGAGTATGCCTCCAGTTACTGTGGTGGTGGTCGTTGAGGTTGTGTACTAGATGCCCTCTATTTTGTGATACGAAGAGGGCTGTTTGTGGACAGGTATGAGCAGTTCTGTTTTTTGCCCAATTAGTGGACTGTAAATGCTGTGTTTTGATTCAAAATATTTGTGGAGGTTTGAAGTGATTAGTATGTATATCAGCCTTGTTCTTCTCTGTTTTTACCTCATATGTGTGCTGAAAGTAGAGTTTTTCGACTGCTGAAGTTCACGACAACAGTGGTGTGGTGGTGGTTGTACTATGTTGAATGGTGTGTGGGTGATTCTGAATAGTTGAAAGTGAAACCTTGTGTCGTGTGGTGGTGTTTATACTGATTTCTGTGTTTGGTTYAATGGYWGAGTGACTTYAGCCCTTGTATTTGGTGTGTGAATGGTTCTGCAGTGTGCAGTACAGGTGTTTGATTTAATGACTGAGTGATTTCAACTTTTGTATTTCATGTGCAATGTGTATTTGAAGAAGTTGGTGGTGCTGAGAGTGAGATAAGTTTTGTGGAAGTGCGTGAGGTTGTGTTGAATATTTGAAGGTGAATTAGTTAAGATGGCATCGATTGGAGATGAGAATGACAATTAAACAGGTGTTATGATTTCTCCAGATGAGCTAAATGTTCAAATGACATCTATTAAGTTGAATGGTGAGAATTATGTGCCGTGGGCAAAATCTGTGGAGGTGTTTTTAAAGGCCAAGAAAAAGGTAAAACATGTGAGAGAGAGGAGAAACCCTCCTCTGATTCTTCGGGGTTTAGTGACTGGGAACAGGAAGACGCACAAATAATGACATGGCTGTGGAATAGCATGGAACAAAAAATTAGCGTGAACTTTATGTTCCTAGATACAACTAAAGAAATCTGGGATCATGCTAAGAAACTGTACTCCGAACAAGACAATACAACTAGGGTGTATCAGTTGTACCAAGAGTACTTTAAT